CCCCGGCCCAGCAGCGGGTACAGAGCCGCGGCAGCCCGGCTGGCAGTAATGCCAGGCTGCAGCAGACCAGCAGGGGAAGCCCCCTTGGGGCTGCAGCAGGTCGACAGCCTGATTGGGGCTAAAGCTGTGTGCTGCCGTGCCAGCTGTGGTGCTCGAACAACTGCTATGGCAGTGGTGCTGCGGCAGCCGTGTCACCCGGACAGCAGCGGGCCAAAGGCAGAGGAGGCCGGAGGCAGGGATCGTCCCTGGTCCAGCAAATTCCCTCATCTGGGACCGCTCAGGTCCCAAGGGCGCCGGATTAGTGAGGTTCAGTGTGCACTAACGCACGTGAATATGGCCCGTTCTAGTTTATTTCTCTAAACGTAGGCACAAGGTCTGGTTTTCAGCGTTCGGCTGCTGCAGCCAACAAAGGGTGTCACGGAGGCACTGCCAAAACCAGGCACCCTTCGCAAGGGAAGTCACGATTCCAGATGTGGCTGCTCTCAACACACAGGTGCTTGATCTGTGGCCACTGACGTAGGCCACCCGTTTGCAAGCTGGGCTCCCGCTGTGTCAGCAGAGTTGAACCGGACGGGGGCCCTCACCTGGTGAACAGCTCCCCCTCTAGCAATACCATGTACGGGGGATGAGGTCCATCTGCAAGCACCCAGTTCAGGTCTTGGTCCTTCTCCACCACATGGATTACTCCAGTGTCCCCATTCATGGAGGCTGCAGAGAATGACAAAGTGCTCTAAGCTTCCCCGAAATCCATTCCCCTCAAAGCTGCACACCTCCTGGGCACTTCAGTGAAGGACAGGCCAAGCGGGATTAGTGGGAAGAAGCAACGGACGCACCCAGCTCAGCTACAAGCTGACTAACGACGAAAAAGCACAGCGGTCTCCTAAGTGACTCTGTCTGAAAGAGAAAGAGACAACTCGGGGACTGTGCCCCCTGCTCGCGATGCTCGCCAATCCCGTCACTGGGGGCAGCCAGGGGGCGCTGGGGCCACGCCAGCCCTGGCCTCTCGGGCCCCCCTCCCTGGCCACAGCCAAGCCTGGCCTCTCAGCTATCCCCCTCCCCAATATCTTGCCTCCCCCTACACCCTTCCCTGGTCTCTTGGCCCCCCTCTGGCCACTGGAGGAGGGCCAGGGCCAAGTCAGGGGATGGCGGCAGTGGCTCTTCGCTGCGCTCTGGGACCCAGCAGGGAACCACCGCCTCCACTTGTCTCTGGCCAGTCGGGCTGTTGCCTGCCTGGCGCTCCAGCCTCGTGCCCCCCTCCACCAGATTAGAGCGCCAGCCGGCTTCCTTGGAGAGGGAGAAGGAAACCCGGAGGCTCCGCCCCAGATCTGGCTTGCGGGGAAGTGCACGCACTGCTCCTTCCCTTCCACCTCCCCCGGCTGGGGGAACAGCAGTGTGTGGATGCGCTTCCTGGAGGCTTTCCCTTCTGATCCCATTGGAGCAGCGGGGGGAGCCCCCCGCTTCT